TGGCAAGGGCCCGTGGGCTGTAAGCTAAAAGATCCAGGGTCTGCCCTGCTGTGGGGCCTTGGACGGGCCCCTTAACTTCTCTGAGCCATACTCTCTTGATCTATTAGTATAACAAAATCTGCCTATCTTTCCAGTAGGATTATTGAGGGCAGAGTGAAGTGATAGGTATGAAATTGTTTTTTAAGCGAGGGACAAAAATGCAAAACAGATACCATGGGTATTAGGTGAAGCCTCGGACATGGACATCCGGGGTTACCTTTGGAGTGATAGCAACCTAAAAGACCAGTGGCTTCATAGGTTTTTTTTGTTCAGTACCTCCCAAAAGAATTTTGAGAAACTAGATTCTCTTTCACATTTTTGAGTTGACATCTAACATTTTAATCCAAAGTTTAAGTACTTGCAAAGGATATAATTCTTGAGTATTGTGTAAAAAAAAAAAAATTTGGCATTTTGGAAATAAAACTGTGAACCACTCTTTTAAATGGATCCAAGATAATCCAAACGCCACTGCTATTTGGTATCTGCCATCATCCATTTAAGAAATGTATGAACAGGCGTGTCTTTAACAGTCAGAAATTTTACAACTTTCCTTTTTCTCCTTGAATTCATATTTCCAGTCCATTGCCCTCACAGGATTTTTATCCTCACGTAATATATGTTTTATGCTTGAGAGTCTTTTATTGATGGCTGTTCACACTCATCTCCCACAACAAGATGTATGTAAATTGAAATAGGAATTTCTGAAAAATTTGTTGGGATCGTAAAGCTCTACATTTTGAAACATTTTTTTCTTCAGATTGAATTACTACTAGCATACAATTTGCCAAAAACAAATTTAGAGAAATAGTAAATGTACAGGTAAAAAAAAAAAATACCGAAAAAGCACCTTTTAATGAAATGGATGGGGCTTTATTTCTTTTTCAATTGGCTCATGTTTCTGTGAATTAATATTTCTTATATGTTGAATGAGACAAGATTCAGCATTAATTTCGTTTCTGTTTTTCAGTTTTTATAAGTGTAAGTGCTTAGAAAGCTTGATCACATAAATAAGGAGCCAGGGAGGGGTGGAGTTTTATATTAGCATTGTCACTCCGTTCTTTGAACTCTAAGTTGTCTGCCAAAAATCCCACAAGGGTCTCTCCACGGACAATTCCATTAGATCTTCAATTTTGTTGAGAGGAAAGACTTGGAAAACATTTGATTCACAAAAGGAATTGTTCCCAGTCAGTAGATCCATCCACCCACTTTCTAAGTCCGACACCACTCTTTTCCAGTCATGTCTTTGCTTGGATCCCCCAGACAGTCATCCAGCATGGAGGGGACCGTGAGGATTAGGTGGATGAAGGAATTGTCTTGTTTGTAATGTGGGAGAAGGGGGAAGGTGAGAGAGGAGATGGAAAGGAGAACCAGCTGAGTGGGGCCTCCCTGCCTGCTGCCATGTTCTCTGTCATGTCGATTTTAGGAAGAATACTTTTGGAAGTTGATGATTGGGGATTATTTTAAAACTGCCTGTGCTTACATTATCCCCAGGGGATTTGTACTCTACTTGGAAGACCCTAGTTCGAAGGACATTTGGTCTGAGCCCAAGCCCCAGAGAGCCTCAGGAAACCCACTTATCCACAACTTAGCTCTCTAGGTCCTCTGTCCCCAAGAGGCCCTGGGCCCAGCTCCTGTTGCATCCTAGAACCAAGCGGGCTGGGTGCTCCTCAGTGTTTGAGCTGTAGATAGTGGCCGCTGTGATGCTCTGAGCTAAATACAGGACTTCCTGTTGTAAGGAGCCATCTCTCTTTCCCCTCCCCACCTTGCATATTTTTCTTCCCTCCTTCTCCTGCTCTGAATTTCTCCCTTGTTGGATTTCATGTATCCTGAAAGGTATCTGAGCTCATGTGGAACTAGCTAGGTGCAAATGATAGAGGTGCGGATTGTTGCTCATGTTCCTTGTTCTTAGAAGACAGCTTCCTCTGCCTCGGTCTTCATGGCTTCACCCTTCCATGGCTTTGGGAACTAGACCCACCTGGCCTCACTGGTCTGTCCAGGGCTCTCAGGAAGGAAGCTAAGCCAGATTCTCTGCCAGGTGACAATGGGATATCCTGGACAGGCACTGTCAATCAGTACCTGTGGATTCTTGTTGTGTCACTGGTGACAGCAGGACCGGGGAGAGGAAAAGGCTTGGTCCTGTGTGCCGGAGTGCCCTGCCAGCTCTCCCTGGCTCTTGACAGGGGACTCTGTGAGCCCTGTGATGGTACCAGACATGGTAGGGGGTTCTGTTCCCTGTCCGCATTAGAACGAACCCCACATCTGAAGGGGACTCAAAGCTCCCTTGGCATCTGGAGGTGACCTGGCATGGGCTTTGAACCCAATTCCTCACAAACCAATAATTGAGTAGCCCTAGCCTTGGACCACTCGGCCCGCAGAACTTTCAAGCTCATTGTTAAAGTGGGTGTTGATTTGTCCCAACCACCTGAGGACATTTGGGAAGGTAGAGGGCAGGATTGAGCCCTGACTGTACTTGGTAAACGGTAAACGTTAACAGGCACCGTCTCTTCTTGGAGCTCTCTCAGAGGCTGATTGTGTGGTGGGTACACAATTGGCTCTGGATTGAGAGACCTGGGCAATCTCTAGCTCACCGTGTCTTCCCTTCGATCTTCGCTTTTCTTATCTGAAAAATGAGGATAATAATCACCTTTTTCTATGCACTTGTGAAGATGAACTGAGCTGATGTGTGAGAAGCCCCTGTGTCTGGACCCCACGCCCACCAGATGGCTGTGTAACATGGGCAGGTTGCCACACATCTGGCCAGCTTCTGCTTCCTCCCCTGTGCAGCGGGGTCAGAGGTCAGGCTTGTGCAGGGACATCGGTGAGACTCAAATGAAATGAGTTACAGTACCTGGTACTTAGTAGGGAGTTACGATTGCAAAGGACAGAAAGGTAGTTGGAGAACTCAGCAGAGTGAGCAAGTGTGCTTGGCAGGGAATCAGGCAGCTGGGATAGGGACCGTCTGAGCCGAGAGTCCCTGAGAAAGCCCTTTAGCGTCCCACTGCGCCAAACTGGGATAATCGGGTCATTATTACTCAGTGACAGATGAGTAGCACAGCAGGACACCATGAATTTATTGAACCCCTGCTGTGTGCCAATCACGAGACTAAAGACACAGAAATCCACAATCTGATCTTTGCCCTCCACGTGTTTATAATCTTCCCTGCGAGACAAGACACATATAAAATCACTGGGTCACAGACTGCTAGCCTCCACATCTGGTGTCAGGACGACAGCGTTCCCTTGAGTGACCCACAGTGGAAAGGTGGCGATGCCACCTGTATGCCAGCTGACTTCAGTGTTATATCTCATTAATCCTGACCTCGGTCATGAGGTATAGGAATCATAGTCCTGTTTGTTCTTCTGCCTTAACCTAGTACCTGGAGTTCACCCTTGGTAAATGAGTCTCTGCCCCCAGGCGAGACCAAAGGCAGCAGGAGTGGGTGAGGAAACTGAGGCCCAGCCTGTAAGTGGTAGAGCCAAGACTCCATCTAAGGCAGTGGTTCTCAGACCTGGTTGCTGGGCATCAGAATCCCTTGAGGACCCTTTTAAAAAGGCAGATTCCTAGGCCTTTAGCCCCAGCCATTACCACATTGAGCCTGGAGTGGGGCCAGGGTCTCTGTATTTGTGCAGGCTCCCTAGCCATTCTGTTAGGAAGGACAGGCCTGGGCCCAGGTGGTGTCAGGCTTATGTGAGGGGTGGGCAGGGCCTCTCCTCCTGGGGCCCCTCATGGGCTCTTCTTGGCTTCCTGCCGTGGGCCTTTGCCCCATGCTCTGCATGTTGGGCTCCACCTTTGACCTATCTGAAATGCCCACTGGGAACTCAGCCGTTTCAGTCTACCTGAGGGCCTGACAGAGGGCTGGGGTCAGATGTTTATACCATGTTGGTGTCCGCACATCTGAGGGAACAAGACAGCACCTCAGCAGACGGGGGCGGTGCTCTCCTTGTCAGGCACATCTGTAGTAGGCCTGGGTACTGCCTGCGGCAGTGTAGGGCCACCCCATGAGGTAGGTACTTTTTAGCCCCATTTTACAGATGAGCAGACCGAGGCTTAGTACACCTAAAGAAATTACCAAGGTTGTGCTGCCGGTAAGTGGTCGACTTCCTGCCGTGGGCCTTTGCCCCATGCTCTGCATGTTGGGCTCCACCTTTGACCTATCTGAAATGCCCACTGGGAACTCAGCCGTTTCAGTCTACCTGAGGGCCTGACAGAGGGCTGGGGTCAGATGTTTATACCATGTTGGTGTCCGCACATCTGAGGGAACAAGACAGCACCTCAGCAGACGGGGGCGGTGCTCTCCTTGTCAGGCACATCTGTAGTAGGCCTGGGTACTGCCTGCGGCAGTGTAGGGCCACCCCATGAGGTGTAGGTACTTTTTAGCCCCATTTTACAGATGAGCAGACCGAGGCTTAGTACACCTAAAGAAATTACCAAGGTTGTGCTGCCGTTAAGTGGTCGAACAGGGACAGGGACCCAGAGGCATCTGATTTGAAGCCTGTCCTCAACTTCTGTCTCAACCTGAGGAAAGGTAGCTAGAAATTACTCTAATGCATTCAAGTGATGAATTCCTTACATGGATGCAATTTATTCCTTACTGCAAAAGAACACTTTTACATCCATCTCCTTTTTCCTCCAGGAACAAGTATGAGAGTTACCTAAGGAAGTTACCTTCTCCATTTTACAGATATGGAAACGGGCTCAGAGATGGCAAGTGACTTGTCCAAGGTCACTCAGAAAGTTGAGGCAAACCTGGAACTAACTCAGGCTTCTTGACTTCCAGTTCAGCTCTCTATTTCCTCTGGTGCTTGCTGCCTCTTTGCTTGCTGGGGACAAGACAGCCATTGGAGGGGCCTTGCCTCCTTGACACAGAGTTTGCGGTCCCTGGAGGCATCATTGCGGGTCCTAGGGCCTTGTGGCTACATGTGTTGGGCGCTGGCTGACTGGTCCCTTTCCTGTTTTCTAGGATCCTATGAGTGTGGAATCTGTGGCAAGAAGTACAAGTATTACAACTGTTTCCAGACCCACGTGCGGGCACACCGAGGTGAGCACCGCGTCCCGAGGGCAGAGGTCAGGGGCCAGGCCTCCACATTCTCTGCCAGTCTCTCCACCTGGGCCCCTCGTGGGTGATCTCAAAAGCCCTCAGAGCCCCAGTCTTCTCCCTCTTTCTACTGAGGAGGAGAGGAGAGGCCTCCTCTACTTGGGAGAGCACACAGGGGTTGGGGACAGCAGGACATGCCACCAGGCTCCTGCTACCAGTGTCCCTTGCCTGTTCTGCATAGGCCTGCTTCCTCCCAGAATGCCTCAGTGCTGCTCAGCGTCATTGGCCCCTGCAGGGAAGGTGCTCATGTGTCATCTTGTGTGCTCCCGTGACAGCCCTCGAGTGAGGAGGGCAAGGTGGCTGTCTCCATTTTGAAGATGAGGACACAGGGGCTGACAGGACAGGAGAGTTTGGTCCTGACCCTCCTTGAACCTGGCAGGTCGGGAGGACGGGTGCCGGGGCAGGACCTGACTGACAGTGGGGGCCACAGGGAAGGACTGTAAGGCTAGTTCCCTGCATCTGAGTCGGAGAGAGTGTCCCTGGGCACATTGTAATGGGTCCCTTGCCACTGGCTCCCCCTTCTCTCTTATTCTTTTGGCACCAGCCCTGCTATTGGTTCCATGTACTCAGTACCTTCTCATTCTCTTTCTCGGTTACAGACACTGAAGCCACCTCAGGGGAGGGAGCCTCCCAAGGCAGTGAGTATTTTTCCCTCCTTGTGGGCTTTGCGGGGCCGAGAGGGCCAGGGGTGGAAGGTGGAGACACTTTTATTCCTCACCCCCACACGTTGCTGTGGTCCAGGCTTTGGGGACAGTCCTTCAGAGCAGCCTTTCCAGAAGCATGTTCTGTGACATACTCATCCTGGGGAGCTCCTTGGAGTTCTGTTGTTAAAGGTTCTCAGGTGATATAACATGGGTAGACCTTGAGTTCTGCCACAAAGGGCATATTTCTCACTATAGACCTCGCAGGGCCCTTCCTTGGTAGAGAAGCACGTGCATCTCCAAGAGGGGTCCAGCGTCTGCAGTTTCCTCTATATTTTAACTCATACTCATGGGTCTGGGGCTCCACAGCCGGTGTTTGGGAACTCCACCTTCAGAGAGTTGTCTCATGAGCACCCATGGGCACCAGTTGTTGGGGTGAGGTATCCCAGAGCCTGTGGCGTGCCGGGTCTTGACAGCTGGGGACAGTGTTCTGCTTTGCCACTCATAGGCCCTGCTTGCCTTCTCTCCAGTTCTAAACCCACAGGCCAGCCAGATGGGTGTAGGCTGGGGTAGAACCTCCCCCAGACCCAAGAAACCTGAGTTCCAGAACCCAGCAGCTCCATTCCCAGGTGTGTCCCCAACAGAAATGTGTGCACATGTCCACCAAAAGACGTGAACTGGAATGTTCTTAGCAGCACTGTTCGTAACAGCCCAAACTAGAAACCACCCAAGTACCCAGTGCCGGCTGAAGGCATAAGTTATGGCGTGTTCACACAGAGGACCGCGGGACAGCAGTGAGAAGGAAAGGCTTTGGGCTACACACAGCACCGTGGATTACCCACAGAGACTGTTAGCAAAGGAAGTTCCTTCTCTAGGATCTGTGTAATAGGGGACACTAATGCATGCCGGAGGAGTCAGAATCCTGGTCACCTTTGGGAAGGGGCTTCTAGGTTCTGATATTTGAGCTGGGTGTTGGTGACACAGGTGTTTTTGGTTTACAAAAATTGAACAGGGTGAGCACTTTGGATTTGTACCCTTTCTATATCAGGGGTCAGCAGACTTTTTCATTGGGGACCATCGAGTATCCATTTTAGACGTTGTAAGCCAGACTTTTCCATCACAACTGTTCAACCCTGCCATGAAGCACGAACACAGCTAGACAGAGATGGAAATGTATTTCTTACCAGAACAAACAGTGGCAGGCCATAGATTGTCACTTATGTTTCTACATGTTTGTTATACCACCATAAAAAGGTTCTTAAAATATAAGTAAACATGACCCCTCCCCACATCCAAAGTAAAGCATTTCGCAGAGGTGCCCAGGGCTAAAGCAAGACCTTAAATGGGCTGGATCCTAACAGCATTTCCTCCAAGGCACTTTTCCTTCCTCTCTCTCTCTCTTTGGATTCTTATACCATGTGAGAGTCAGGGGGTGCCGAGGCTACTCCTCCGTTTTCTGGAGGAGACTCTGAGGCTCAGATTGGTTGATACCTGTGGAGGGACTGAGGCTGGCAGGAGGCGAAAGCCTGCCCCTTCTTCCCAGCCCCCACCCTCCTCCTGCCTGGCTCCGGCTCCTTCTCCCTCAATAGCTCCCTTCTCTTCTAGCTTCCATGGTCTGCCTGTGGTAAGCCACACATTAAAAGAACTTCCCATTTATCTTTCCTTCCTTGGTTATTCTGGGCCCCCGGCCTCTCCAGCAGCCCCTCAATGATGCGTTGTGCTCTGTCTTGCTTCCGTTGTTCCCAGAGGCTTGCTGATTGTTGAAGACTCTCTGGCTAGTGGTATTTTTAGTCCTTCCATCACTTTTTCTTTCCTCCCTGTGGAATTTTCTCCCCATGGCCAATATGCTTTATTTTATTCCCAGTCCTGCACCCCTGCCCTGACCCAGGCCAGCAGTGCCAGCTCAGAAGGACTGGGGTCTTCCCACCCCAGCCTCCTTTCCGAATCCTGGCCGTGGAGTCCTGGAACCTAACGGGTTCCTTGAGAATAGCAAGTCCGGCCTACCCATTTTGCAGATGAAGATACTGAGTCCCAGAGAGAAGTCACACAGCTTGCTAGGGTAGAAACCAGGTCTCATGCCTTTAGTCCAGGAATCTTTCATCTGTTTGTTAGAAAAATTGTGCAGTCATACATAGAGGCATCTACCCATTTACCCATCTCTCAACTAAGAAAATAAAAGATTAACTCCACATCCAGTCTCTCGCTACTGTCGCCTCGATTCCCTTTGCAAAACAATAATGTTAGGCAGCGTTTACCAAGCATTTATTGTATGTTAGGCGTTGTGCTCATTTATGTATTACAACTCTGGGAGATGAAGGACTGCCATTCCCATTTTACAGATAAAACTGCGGGGCAGAGGTTAGGGGCTGTTTCCGATGTCAGTCGCACTTGTAAGCAGCAGGCTTGGGTTTGAGCTCGGGCGGCCTGACTCCAGAGCCTGCTCCTCAGACAGATTAGTGGTGGCATTCTCAGAGACACTGAGCTCTCTTGGGGTTCCAAAACCGTGGTTTCACTGACAAAAAAAAATCATTTTGCCTTTTTTCCCTTTGGAGATAGCGCCCCTGTCCTGTCCACTCCCGCCTTCAGTCAGTCCGGCAGTGTGATTGCCATCCACGTTGAAGAGAAGTGGGGGTGTCGTGTTCGTCAGAGCAGGGTGGCAGCGCTTCTCGGCGGCAGAAATGGGGGGGTCACATTTTATTGGAGGAGGTAGCCATGGCCTGGCTGGTAGAAGAGGCTGTGTGGGCAGAGACAGGGCGAGTGGGCAGGCAGCTGTGGAGGGTGACCGGCACTGGACAGTATGGGCGAGGAATTTCAGGAGCAGGGCCCCATCTGGAACCAGGTGGCCTGAACTTCTCCACCTCTGTTCCCCAGGTGTCCAGCACCAAGAGAAGATTATGGTCCAGATGGGACAGGATGGGGGAGGTTGTTGTCTAACCTGGATTTCCAGCCATGGGAAAGGATGAAGCCTGAGCCAGGCTTGGAATCCTGGAACCACCAGTCTGGGAGAGGCCTCAGGAATCAGCTCATCTACTACGCGCCCCTGCCCTCAAACTAGGGGGGAAAAGGGCAAGCTGAATCCTGAGATGGGGTTGGCACTAGCCAGCAGGGCAAGACCAGGCCTCTCCTCCCCACCACTTACTCCATGGCTGTTTCAGGCGTGATGGTAGGGCCTGGTAGGATGGTGGCACGCCTGCACCCAGCCTGATCCCCACACCCTCAGACCGTCTGCATGTGCTGAAGCTGTGTGTGCCTCACTCAGTGACCAGTTAGTCTCCATGGCCTTGGCATCTGCCAAAGCACTTTCAGAGACTGCAGGTATGGTGGAAGAGTTAGGGGCCGAGGCAGGGAGATGGCTAATGTCATTTGTGTCCCAAGTTTAGCTACATAGGGGACCAGAAACCTTCCCACAGAATTGCCTGGCATTGCAACCTTGGGATGGAGGGGTCTCATCAGACCTATATCATGGATCCTATATATTTGGGTCTGAGGAGCAGAAGAGGGACCAGGGGCTGGTACCCTAGCCCGGGAGTAGAGGGTGGCTTATCCAGACAGAGAAGGGCCATGCGCCCGACTCAGCCATGGCTTGAAGTTAAGTGATTGAACTCTGGCTATTTCCTGCCCCACTGTGCAGCCTTAGCAAGCTGCCCAGTCTCCTGGTGCTGGGCATCCTCAGAAAGATGAGGCGGCAGGGCCGTCTCTAGATCAGTCCAAGGAATGCACACACAAGGTTTGTGCTAGTACAGATCTTAGTATATTACTGGTGTGGTGAGGGTAATGTACTGTGTAAGTCCAGCTTCAGACTTTGGATAGACTTAGGAGATCATCCAAACTCAGGCCCTGTATTCATTATCTATTGCTGTGTAACACATTTCCCTAAAACTTAAAGAGTGAAAGCAACAAACAGTGATTATTTCACTGTTTTCGTGGTCAGAATCTGGATGTGGCTTCACTGGGTTCTCTGGCTCTGGGTCTCTCTAGAGGCTGTAGTCAAGGTGTCAGCCAGGGCTGTGGCCTCATTTTAAGGCTCAGCCAGGGCAGGAGCTGCTTCCACACTTACTCATGTAGCAGTTAGCAGGATGGATGGGTCCTTCTCAAGCTCTTGGACTGAGGGCTTCAGTTCCCCACTGGCTGTTCACTGGAGGCTGGATCTCTGTGGGGCGGCTTACACATGGCAGCTAGCAAGATCGAGATGGTATGAGCAAGATGAAAGTCATGGTCTTTTGTGACCTAATCTCAGAAATGACATCCCATTACTTTACTGCATCCCATGACTTTTTAGAAGCAAGTCACTAGGTCCAGCTCAGGCTCAAAGGGAAGGGACCGCACGAAGTGTGAATGCCAGAGGGCCAGGGTCTTGGTGAACCATTTCCAAAGCTGATCCAAAGCTGATTCCCTTCTGATCCTCAGTTTCCCTGTGTGTGAAATAGGTTACTGTTTCCTCCCTCAGTTGCAAGGACTGATGGACGAAGGGCACCTTGCACACACAGCACCCAGGGAGTGATAGCTACAGCGATCATTAATGTCGTGTAACTTCACGAAGGGAGGTGGGGCCAGTTATGGCCCAGGCCCTTAGCAGCTCATCTCACACAGGGTAGGATTGGGGGTTGGTTTGAAAGTCACTTCAGGGCTCCTTGGTCTCCTTGTATAGAGGACCCCTAACAGCCCAAGAACTGATTCTCCGTGGGGTCACCAGTTGGGGCCATTCTGGGCTAGTCCTTTCTTTAGTTCCTGAGGCAGATCAGCTGGCCCCAAAAACTCTACCCCAAGCGACTGAAGCCCTGGTAACCACGTGTGTCTTTCCATCCCCCACAGACAATTTCAGGTACACGTGTGACATCTGTGGGAAGAAGTACAAATACTACAGCTGTTTCCAAGAGCACCGAGACTTGCATGCAGTGGATGGTGAGTCAGGCCCCTCACTCCTTAGGAGTAGAGCCACATAAAGAGACCCTCCAACCCCGGGCTGCTTACCGGCGCCCCCAAACTCCAGTCCCGCCACCCCCACACCCAGCAGAAGGTCATTAGCAACCAGACCATGATGAGATTGACCAATCCCTGAGGCTCCTGGGGGAGTAAAGGTCCCCTTCGTATTCTATATATACTTCTAATTAGGGTAACCCATGTGAAATTGCTGGTTTTGTAGATCAGAATCATCGGTCGAATACCCATAATTTCATATCGATTCATTATACAATTTTATATTGAGTATTCACATACTCTGGTGAAATTAAACCAGTTTTTAAAAATGAATGATGGTATTTTAGCATCTTAGATTATAGAGTTAGAAATTAGAACAGTAAATTTAGGTAATTTGTTTTTAGACTCTTAAGAATCCTAGAAATGGGCTCTTGGACCTGGGAAGGATCTTGGGGGCTCTTCTCTAGCTCCACATCTCAGGCCCGTCTTAAGCTGTGACAACTGGGCTCACCACCTATTGCTGCTGGCTCCTCCTTCCTCTCACCTCCTCTTTTTCTATCCTCCCGATTTCTCATTTTCCTCCTGCCCCAGCCCCTCTGGTGTGCCAGAAACAGGGCAGACAGAGCATACGCCTGCCCCGGGGGTGGGCTCGTGCTGTGGGAGGGAAAGGAATGGAGGCACAGGCTATGTCCTGGTTGGGATGCACCCTCCTCTGGCCCTGGTTTTCTGGGGCATCGATGCTGGCAGGACTGCTCTCGTCGGCCCCAAAGGCAAGCTCACTTGGACAGAGGCTGGGAGCAGTGGGCAGAGGCAGCTGTGGGCAGGGACTAACAGGGCTCCTGTTTGCTTCTTTCCTTCTGTGGCTGCTGCCTCCCGCCCGGGCGCAGTGTTTAGTGTGGAAGGGGCCCCCGAGAATCGGGCAGGTAAGTGCTCACTGGCTGCTCACCTCTCCTGTCCCTGGCTGGGTTCCCGAGACCTGGTTACTGGGGTGCTAAGGGCCATGTGTTCTCCTGCAGACCCCTTCGACCAAGGTGTCGTGGCCACTGAAGAGGTGAAGGAGGAACCCCCGGAACCATTCCAGAAAATCGGGCCAAGTATGCGGGCCTCTCCCTGGGGCAAGGGCTGGGTCGGGGGGCTGGTGGGGGCTGTCTGAGGGCAGCAGGGCGAATTCTGCCGCTCGAAGAGTGGCATTGCTCCTCCCGCATCAGTGTCGCTGGCCGGTGAGCCACTGGCCTCTCGGTACCTCATTTTGCCCACCTGACAGATGGGTCAGCCTTGTTAGGACTAGCTTTTGAGAAGCAGCAGGACAACACAGGGTCAAGGTCAAGGCAGTGACAATAGCACATGCTTGGTGCCCTGGCAGTCTGTTAGCCGTCCTGAGCCTCGGCTCCTCACGTATGGCATGAGGATGACATTTCCCCGCGGGTTTGTTGGGGGATTAAATGAGATCATAGATGTAAATCGCCTGTTAATTAGCACAGTGCCTGGTACATAGTAGGTGCTTAGAAAATTATTGTTGTTATTGTCATCTGAAGAGGTTTAGCAGCCAGTGAAGCTATCCAGGGAAGCCATGTGCAGACACATCTTGTCCCAGTAAACCCCTGAGGGCAGGAGCCATGCACAGGACCTGCCTGTTTTCAGCAGCTTGTATTGAGTGTTGTGGGGACACAGCAGTGAGCAACACAGGTGTGGCCCTGCCCTTGAGTAATGCACATGGCGGAGGCGGGTGCATAGGTCAGTAAGCAATAGTTAGAGCATAGCCACAGGCACGAGGCTGTCTGAGGGCAGCAGGGTGAATTCCGCCGCTCGAAGGGTAACATTGCTCATCCTGCATCAGCATCGCTGGCCAGTGAGCCACTGGCTGGGCTCCTTGTACCTCATTTTGGGTGCCAGGGAGTACCTGACCAACCTTGGAATCCAGGAGGCTTCCACATGGGAACCAGGGTGGGGAATGAGCCCCTGTGTCCCATGTGAAGGCAGGAGAACAGCACTTGTTCTAGGGATTAAAAGGCAAATTGGTTCTGAGTTCAGGTCTCAGAGAGCCTGGAATGCCAGACAAAGGCATTTAGACTTCATCCTGAGGGGAATGAGCTGGAGAGTTTCCTAAATGGGGAAGAGACTTGATCCGATTTGCATTTTGGAAGAACACTTTGGCTGCTGTGAAAGTGGTTGGTGCGGGGTGGGGAGTGTGCTCATAGATGAGATTCATCTGGTCTAACCCTTCATAAATTTATGGACTTGCTTATTCCTGTCTTTACTTCCCATGCCTGTCTTACTACCCAGTAAGATAAGACCTTTATTGACTCTGCATCATCGCAATAAGGATTAAGGCAGCTTGTAAAGGTAGAGACACAAACACCGAATGAATGCATGTGGAAATCTGAGGGAGGAGAAGTCGAGGAAGCTACAGCAGTGAAACCAGAGATGCTCCTCAGAGCGGAGCTTGGTCCTGGGCACCGGCCCTTGAAAGGTGTCGCCTGGGTCCCCCGAATGCTTTTTCTTCCTCTTTCTTCATAGGGGATGATCCTCTGCTTTCTGTTTACTCTTAAAGCACTCAGAAAACTGCAGCCGTGATAATATCTGTAAACTGGTCAGCACAGTGCTTGTCATATGCATAGTAAACATTCAATAAACAGTAGCATTAAAACAATCTTGAAGAGGAAGAAAATGATGAAATCCTCAACACAAAAACTGTTAGAAAGTAGACCTTGGGGAAAACCCGGATGTGAATCAGACATGTTCCATAACAGACATTTGTGGACAGACACAGGACAGGGACAGCAGGATCCAAGGACCCCCACTTAACTCTCTTCTGACAGCCCGGCGTAGCAGTGCCCTTCTATCTCTGACATCGTAATTATGAAAATAGGCTTCGAAATCAGACAGGCCCCGGTTTGAATGCTGGCATCACCAATTTACTAGCTACTTACTCCCTCTGAGTGTCCTTTGACTCATCTGTAAGTTGGGGGCAAGAAAGTCTGTTCTACCGAATGAATGCATTAAGTGTCTAGCCAGCCCCTGGTTCATATTCAGGGTGTCACACATGAGTGATATCGCTAAGAGATAATTGAGAATGAGCTTTAGAGCCATCCCAAACATGAATCCCGGCGCTCCACTTAATCCCTGCGTTACGTCCTGCAAATTCTCTAGTCTACTGTTTCCTTAATTCTGAAATGGAGTGATGACAATAAAACTCACCTCAGGATTGTCCTGGAGATTAGATGAGATTATATTCGTAAAGGTATTAGTCCTTGACACTTCACATGAAAAGCTTAAATAAGTGGTACCTATTAATTACCCAGAAAGGTGCAGAACAAGATGAAACTTGTTCTGTATATCAGTAACTAAGCCTCACAGACAAACGACGCTAGGTTCTGGGAGGAATTATTTCAGTTGACATCACACTGAGAAAACCAAACTGAGTTTGGCTTCTCGCATGCTCCCAGCGTGACACTGTGGAAGTGAGGTTGATAGAATAAGGTGACGTTTTCCCGTGTCACTACTCAGGAGCTGCCTCGTGAGATAAGAATGCTGCTTCTTGAGGTTCTGTCACTTCCTGTAAGCAGGTCAATGCCAAAGAACCCTAAAAATGATGAGATGTAGAATAAGGGGAACCAGTAGTGGCATGGTGCACTTGAAAGGACAAATTGCTACAAGTAGTGCTCTGTAGGACCAGTAAGAGGAAAAAAAACTTGGCAGCAGTGCATGCTGGGAAGTACACCTTCCACATGCACATCAGCTGAGCAAATTAGAGAGCTGGGTATTTTCAGAGGAGGGAGCCGAAGCCATGACAGAGCAAAAGAATCCGCTAGAAGGACAGAGTCGGCCTAAGGAGCCCTGTGTGTCAGCTTGCTCGCCAGCTGCAGATCTGAGAATCACCATGATGGTAATGGTCTACTATGATAATGGGAAGATTGAGGGCGGTCCATTCATGTCTGTTGAAACAGATTAAAACTCTGGACGCATATTTAGGTTACTTGATTTTTATAAGGAAGAATAACTTGTAAAATAAAAATAAATAAAAATAAAACTATGAAATTCCACATAACATAATAAGAGACTTTAGGAGACCCGAAGGAAGAGAATACCTCTGCAAATAATCTACTGTAAAATCTAGAAGAAAATTCTGTTTGACAACCACAATGGATTATAAGAAAATATGACCTGTCTTAGTCCTCTCAGGCTGCCTTAAAAAAATACCAAATGGGTGGCTTAAACAACAGAATTTTATTTTCTCTCTGTTCTGGAGGCTGGAAGTCTGAGATCAGGGTGCCGGCATGTTTGAGTTCCAGTGAGATCACTTTTGGGTCAAATACCATCCCATTGGAAGGCATCAATATCTGAATTTGGGAGGGATACAACTGAGTCCACAGGATGATGACCCCTGTGAAAAAGGGGCCTGGAGTTTTATGGCAGAAAAGCAACAGGATAAGATGAAAAGGCAAAGAGAGGACTGAGATGAGAAAGGACTGCAGAGAAGCTGAAAATAAAACAGGACTAAAACCTGCATTGTAGATAGCAAAGAGCAGAGTTGATCTGTGCAGTGGAATTAACGATGTGAAGGACAGATTTGAACAGATGAAGATAATAAGAGGAAAACATGATAAATGTGGACCACTGGGAACCAGTGTCAGATAATTGATGGTGTTGTACCAGTGGACCTGAAGCAGTATTGCAAAGATACAACAGAAGAAAAATTTGCTCAGCTAAAGGAAGACTTGCATATGCAGATTCAAGGGCTTGTCATAAGTCAGGTAGAGTCAATATACAGAGACTTTTTAAAATTATAAATGTAAAGAACAAACATATAGCCATCTAGAAATTAAAGAAAAGCAAGTTATTTACGAATTAATCCATGATGGACATGTTTCAGACTTCTCAGTAATACTAAATGACAAAGGTAGTGAAATAGTTTTCAAGGGAAAAAGATGTAGTCTAAGAATTTTATGTTGAGACAAATGGTGATTTATATAAAAAGAAAAAATCCAGGGCTCAAAAACATACTATATCTTCTCTGATCCCATCTTTAAGAAATTATTTAAAGTTATACTCCAATGAACTGAGTAGTAGAACACATTTAAGGGCTCAATTATAAGGAATTAATTCACGGTACAAGAGCACTCGTGGTGAATACTAAAGCCAGGTGAACTAATAGTAAGTTTTAAATGTTGCACATCTGATTATAAAATTGTATGCAAAAGACAAAGATTTCTCTGAAATATTAAATTTGAATTTTAAAACACAAGAAGGAAGGAATAGGTGAAGGATACAGTGAAGTCGGTTAAACCAGTCCCGGTATGGTCCCCAGACCAGCATCGTCCGCATCTCCTAGCAGCTGCTTAGAAATAGAAATTCTTAGGTCCATGCCACACCAGTGGAATCAGAACTTCTGGGGTGGCCCCCAGCATCTGTGCTGTAACAGTCTCTCTAGATGTTTCTTATATATGCTAAAGTTTGAGAAGCACCAAGTTAAACTCCCCTTCTCAATAGTAATAGTCAAGAAAATATTTCCTGCTTGATTATAACAATTAGAGAAATATAACATATACTATTTAAAATAATGAAGAATGTTGGAAAAGAACTGAATATTGGAGAATAATGGAAAGGCAAAGAAAAGACTTCGTATATGAAGCAATTGAAAACTAAGGGAATAAACCAGAAAGGGTAGAGCATGAGGGTAAAAAAATCATGAAACAAGTAAAACTAAGCCAATTATAGCAATCAAAGCAAATGGTGTGTTCTCCTTTATTAGAAGACAAAGATTCTCAGGTTAATTTAAAAGAATTCAATTATTAATGGTTTATTAGAGGTATCCAAGTTAATTCTTTATCTTTTCCTCTTCTCTTTCTCAGGAAACTCTTTGCCACTTCCTTTACTAAATTGAATTTCCGGTTAGAATTTTCATAGTATAGCACATGTCTCCTTAAGAGCACCCATCATGGTTGCATTTTTAAATTTTTGTGGTTATTTGATTACTTGATTTTTCTGTGTTCTTTTCCAGACTAAGTTCCTTGAAGGCAGGAACCATGAATCTTTTTGCTCAATATTTTGTGCTGGCATTTATTTTTAGCACAGTGTCTGTGTAATGAATGAAAGTACAGGAAAACTCAGGGAAATGTCTTTAGGCATATGCAAACAAGTAGGAAGGAGGATCTGACAAAGTAATTACCAAGAATTAATAACAGTAATGCCAGACGAACTGTATAATTAAATGTTAGAGCAGTGGTTCTTCACCTTTCCCGTGCATCAGAATTTTCTAGGGGGCCTATTAAAACACAGGTCGCTGGATCCCATCCCTAGAATTTTTCTTTTGGGTGTGTCTTGGGCAGGTCCTGAGAATTTGCATTTCTGACAGGTTCCCAGGTGATGCTGATGCTGCTGGGCCAGAGACCACACTTTGAGAAGTTACTGTGTTAGAAAATAGGGTAATGTTAATAAAGGGTGCAGTTCACAGTGAAGATTTTGATTTCTTGAGCCTAGATGCACCAGGCAATGTTGTATCCAAATATACAAAATAAACTTAGAACGACAGTGAAATGGAAGGGTTTATCATGTTTAGTCTTTGACAGAGCAAAGACAAATAAGATTATATAGGGATAGGGTTTGAATAATATAATTAATACAGTTGGTCTAACAAATAGCAAATAGATCTTTTTCAGTGCTCATGAATTAGTTACAAAAATTATTTAACTATGAAAAAAATTTTAAAGCTTCTATATTGAGAGAAAAGCCATAAACAGAAGAAGCAGCCAATTTGAGGGAAAAAATACAGTTAACATAGGGGACAAAATGATTTAAAAAGGGTAAATATACCTATAGAAACGTTGGCTATAAACACAAACGGGAAAGTCACAAAGAGAAACTACAGTTAATTAAACATGAAAAATAGTCAATTTCCTTACAAGTCAAAGAAGTGGAAAATAAAACCAGCAGTGCAATACAGTTCCCCATATCAATCACAATTTAAAAAGGTAATAATACTTAATGCTGGCTATAGTGTATGGAGACAGTCGTTTTCACATCTTTCTGATTGAGATAAAAATTGGACCAACCTTTTGATAGTATTTGGTGCTGTGGTTATCAAAAGCCTTAAAAATGCTTAATTTATCCTGTGGAAATAATGTGCAAAGATTATGCATGATAATCTTTATTTTGCAATGATGTGCAAAAAGAATGAGCAAACACAAAAATTTCTACAAGGATGTGGATCACAGCATTTTTAAAATATATATATATAAGGAAAATTTTTTTGAAACAATCTAAATGTTCCCTGGTATAGGAGACTGGCTCAGCAAATTCTAGAGTCCAGTGGGAACCGTGCAGCCAATAAATGCAGTAGAGATCGAACTTTATTGATTAAGCAAGATGTCCACAAAGTATCGTTGATTGAATGCACCAGGTTACAAAGAAGATATAGATTAGAGCTGCTAATTCAAGGCCCGCAGGAGCCAGACAGATGATGTCAATGAGAAGCATGCCCCAGATGAGATGGGAGTGAGGGGTGGGGTTTGGGGTAAGTGGCAAGGTGCACGTTCTACCCAAGGGGTAGCGGCTGCTCTTTGTTTGGGGATTACAGATGATTGAAATTTCTCTTATTTTTTTTTTTAAATTTTGTATTTATCAGTATTTTATAATTTTCCCCCAGTGAACAATATTACATCAGAAATTTTTAAGAAGAAAGAAGTTAGGCAGACCCAAAAGAGAGGTAAAGACAAAGTCCGGTAGGACCTGAGAGGAAGAAGTGACCTCTTCTGTGGGGGGCGGGGTGGGGGTTGCTTGGGGGCAGGGAAGATATAGAGATGAGGGGACCCAAATATGGCCATTGCAAAGGACAGGACTTGCAAAGGGGCTGCTAGAGGTTGGCACTGGAGGTCAGCTCAGGTCACCACACATTTCCTGAGCACCGGGGCTTGGGGGTGGAGCAATGAAGGAGAACAGTGTGTGCCAGGTACTGTTCTAAGCACTTAATGTATAAATTTAATCCTCGCAGCAATCCTATAAGGTGGTCCTATTGTTACCCCCATTTTACAGATAGGAAAACTGAGGCACAGAGAGGTTAAGAGATTTGCCCAAGGTCACACAGCTCAAAATAGCAGAGCTGAGATTTGAACCCAGGTAGTCGATGCAAATGGGCTCCTGATTCTAGCTGATGGTCCCAGAATGAGGAGTTTTAGGGGAGGGAGCACGCTGCTGCTGCTGGATTGGAGCCAGGTACCTATTCCCACACTTGCCTCTTCTTCTTGGACAGAAACCGGCAATTACACCTGTGAATTCTGCGGAAAGCAGTACAAGTACTACACGCCCTACCAGGAGCACGTGGCCTTACATGCCCCCATCAGTGAGTACCTTTTGTTGTTGGGGGAGGGGTGGGCCAGTCCCACTCTGGGGCTTTGCCAGGGGAGTGTGGAAGCAAAGGTGAGCTTGGTTTTGGGCCATTCTCTAGGTGACATGGGGCTACCTTACTCTAGTAGCTGGAATAGCTGCGAAAGCCCTACCGTTATGCCAGGAAAGCCGGAGTCATCCCTTGGTAGACTTGGAGCATGGGCACCTCTCGTCTAAGTCCTTCAGTGGCCCTGTCCCTACCTCCTCTAAGTCCTCCAAATCATGTGGTTCTTAAGTCCCCTTTTGCCCCAAAGCTAGTGCCATGTGATACAGCCTCAGTCTGAAGCCATGCTGGGTCTAACACAGGCTAGGGCAAGGCCAGCTAGACAGGCTAGCTCCCTCTTTGCCCTTGGTAGTGGAAAAGGGTAAGAAGCTAGAGGGAGTGCTAAACTGGGACTCAGATCCCTGGGTATTAATCCCAGGAGGGTCGCAGACTTAAATGTGACCTTGGACAGGCCCTGTCCTGTTTCTGGCCCCCAATCTCTCTTTCCTCCCTTGACTGGAATGGGAAAGTTTCTAAGGGCCCTTTTCACAGGGACATCCTGGCCTTTTGTTCTCTTGATGCTTATTTCCTATCTTTCCTTCTGAATGTCGGAGGGGGCTCCACCCTTCGTACTTCAAGTGTGTGAGCTAGGAGGCCCTCCGTCCTCAGCCAAAATTCTGATGGGTGGGGTTTAACCAGAGCTGCAGGGCAGCAGGGCAGGATGCTTAGGAGTGGATGCAGGACTGTCCTTGCTTTTGTTTCTCAGGGCAGAGCTATGCAGATCCCATTTTCCAGTCTCTGGATGGGAAGACTTAGGTCCAGAGACAGGGAGGGTTAAACAAGGTCAGCAGGGGTTTAAGCTGCCTATTATGGTCTGGGAGGTTCGTGACCCTTCTGGATCTCTGAAGATAGCAGCACAGGCAGATGGCCCCTCCAAGGGCATTCGGATGGGCAGGGAGAGGTGTACAGAGCTTAAAGAATGGTGCAGGCAGCTTCCCCAGAGAGTCTTCCCTGCTGAGCAGAATACTCGTGAGAGCTTCCATCCTGAGGTTGATAGCTGAGCTAGGATTCTTGTCCTGCTTAGCCTCTGACTGCTGCGTGACCTTGTGCCTGTCATTTCCTTTCTCTGGGCTCAGGTTTCCCATCTGTGAAACTCTTGAGGTTTTCCAGCCCAGGGGTCTGGATTCTAGGCATCTCCAGCATGAAGAGATCCTCAGGCAGGCGTCCCTAATGGCCCAGCTAGAGAAATTCACCCAGCCACCCAGGCTCGGGATATATCAGTCATCCAATTTCTACCAGCATGTCTGGCTGGGTCCTGTGAGCTTCCTTTTGGTGGGCACTACCCATCCATTTGACTCACTAATGGTAATGGTATTGGTGCAAATCATCAGGGCTGTGGCTGGCCTTGAGCTCCATGGCCTCAACCCCTCTGGAGATCCTTCTTTCCATGGGCCAGGACTGGCAGCTCTGTGTAAGCACCTGCTCTGATGCCCAGAGGGGATACTACCCAGAATGCACTTAGGTGTTGGTCGCAAGGCCAGCATGCAGCCGTCGCTTCAACCTTTGCAGAATGCCTTCAGTGCTGCTTCTGCTCTTCCCCCTAATGGCTTCCCGGAACAAGTGGAGTAAAGCCATGGAGTTAATAAGAGGGGGAGCTTGGCTTTGGACCTTGGCAGGTGAGCTCCAGGCCCATACTCATAACCATGAAGCTATCCTGCATCCCATGTCAGATGGTACAGCAAGAAGGGGGTGCACTGCTTGCACCCTGATTTCTTCCTTAATGTCCAGGTGCTTCTTTCCTGAAGAGCTGTCTGCTGTTCCTGTTCCTCATTTTCTTTTTATCTCTGTTACAGACTCTGTGTCTTTTGCATCTGTTGGTTGAATAAATCTCTTTTCTATTACTCACTCAAGTCTGGTGACTCTAGGATCATCTGTGTTTAAAATACAGCATGAGAGATTTAGGCAAAATCCTACAGATGACTGATTCTCCAAGGTTGACCAATAGCCCCTCCAGTGGCCTTTGGATCACCCTTGGCTCTTAGAGATTTGTGTGTCCATGGATTCTGCATGGAATTAGGGGCCGGACTTGACGGCTTCAGGTGGTACCCAGGGCCAGGCCTTGAAAAAACCCTGGGTTTGGTGAGACTATCCATAGGGACCTAGGCTGACTGCAGAAGTTATTATGAATAGAGTCATAATATATACTCTTTTGTGTCTGGCTGCTTTCACTCAGCAAAATGTTTTTAAGTTTATACATGTTGTTAAATATATCAGTTGTTCATTCATTTTTACTGCTGAGCAATATTCCATTGTGTGAAAAAAATACTGGTTTGTTTAGCTCTTTGCTTGTTAATTTGAGTTGTTTCCTGTTTTAGGCTATTATTGAATAAAGCTGCTATGAAAATGCTTGTACGAGGCTTTTTGTGGACAGACATGATCGTTTCTTTTGGCTAAAGAACAAGGAGTAGAATTGTTAAGTCATAGGGGAGAGTATGTTTAACTTTTAAGAACTCACTAACCATTTTCCAAAATGACTAGCATATTACACTCTCATCGGTCACTGATTCCACGTTCTTGCCAACATTTGGTGGCAATAAGCTCTTTAATTCTAGTTGTTCTGGGGAGCGTGCAGTGGTATTTATGTTGTTAATTTGTATTTTTCTGATGACTAGTAATGTTGAGCACTTTCATTTGTTTTTTGGCCATTTGTATATTTTACTTTGGAAACTAAGTCTTTTGCCTGTTTTTTGGTTGGGTTGTTTGTCTTTTTATTATTAAGTTACAGGAGTTTTTTATACTAGATCAGGGACTTTATCAGTGAATATTTTCTCTCAGTCTTTGGCATGCCTGTTGATTTTCATACAGTATCTTTTCTTTCGATGAGCAGTTGTTTTTCATTTTGGTGAAGTCTGATTTATTATTATTTTCTGTGGTTAGTGCTTTCTGGATCCTAACCAGAATATCCTTAACCTACCTCAAGATGGTGATGACATTCTCCTTTATTATCTTTTAGAAGCTTTGTAATTTTAGCTTTTGCATGTAGGTCTGTGGTCCATTTCACCTTAATATTTGTAAATGATGATAGGCATGAGTTGAGATTGATTTCATTCCAAACAGATATCCAGTTGTTCCAATATGATTTGTTGAAAAGATTGCCTTTTCCCCATTACACTGCATTGGGACCTTTGTTGAAAATCAATTGAATGTATAAGTAAGTGAGTTTATTTCTGCTCCATTGATTTATTTGTCTCTGCTATGCCAGCATGGTCTTATTTGCTGGAGTTTTATAGTAAGTCTTAAATCAGGTACTCTCAGTTTTTCAATGTCCTTTTTAAAGAATATTTGTCTATTTTAGGAACTTTGCTTTTCCTTATAAATGTTAATATTTTTGTCAATTTCTACAAAAATATCTAACTGGGATTTTATTTAAGATTACACTGCATCTATAGACTGATTTGGGGAGAATAGACATAATAATACTGAGACTTCCAATCCATGAACATGGTATCTCTCTCCAGGTATTTAAGTCTTTTAATTTCTATCAGCAGTAGTTTGTACTTTTCAGAGTAGAGGTCTAAAATACTCGGAGGTAATTTATTTCATTAAATTACCTCCGAGTATTTTATATTTTTCGACATTACTGTGATTTTTTTTTGTGATTTTTAATCATTGTTGGTAGTACATGCAAACACAATTGATTTTTCAGAATTGTATTTGTAACCTACAACTTTGCTAAAATAACTTGTATTAATTCTAATAGTTTATTTTTAGATTCTTGGGATTTTCCTTGTATATACTAATGTCATCTGCTAATAAAGACAATTTTATTTCTTTCTTTCCAATCTGTATTCTTTTTATTATTATTTTCTTCTTTATGTACTGGTTAAGACCCTCCAGTACAATGTTAAATAGAAGAAATAAGTGGTTATCTATGCCTTGTTCATAGGGTTCAGTTTTTCATCATTAGGTATTGTGATTTTCATCATTAAATATAATGTTAGCTGCAGTAGGTTTTCATAGATGCCCTTTGTCAGTTGAGGAATTTACCTTCTCTTCCTAGTTTACTGAAAAGGTTTATTGTTTTATCATCAAATTGATGTTAACCTATTTTTCCCACATCTGTTGAGATGATTCTATGATATTTTATTCTAATAATGTGAATTACATGGATTGATTTTTTAAAATAAGTCATTATGCCTATACTTTATTAAAATGAATTAAGACTATCAGAAAGTCAAACTGTGAAATGAACTGAAGAAGGTTACAATCTTGGAATGCCTCTTCTTTACCAGAAGAATGACTTCTTTCTTTGAAGCTTCTTTTTCTTGACTAGGTATCTAAATTAGTTTAAGACCTAGGGTAGTTTGTAAATTTAATTTGCTTTCAAGAACATGTTTTCTGATCATTTCTATCTGAAATTCCCCAGAATTTTACCTGGCTTTAATATCATTCCCCAAACTGACCCTTCAGGGACAGAGAATTGCATTCCTAGGATTAGCAGTGTGCCCCATGTTCAATCAATGGTTTGTTAATGACGATCATAATCAAGGAAATGTTTCTGGTGAAGTTTTTTAAACACCTTTATTGAGGTATATTGTTATACAGTAAAGGGCCTGTATTTAAAGTGTACAATTTGATAAGTTTTGACCTATGTAGGCAGCCATGAAACCGTCATTGCAATCAATATTATGAACATATCCATCACTCCCAGAAGTTTCTTTGTGCCCTTTTATAAACCCTTGCTTACCACTTCCTCATCCTTAGGCAAGCACTGGTCTGCTTCCTATTACTACAGATTAGTTAGCATTTTCTAGAATATTACGTACATGAGATCTTATAGCGTGTACTCTTTCTTTTATTATGTGTATGGGGGGATCTGGCTTTTTTCACTTGCCATAATTGTTCTAAGATTCATTCATGTTTGCACGTATTAGTACTTCATTCCTTTTAATTGATGGGTAGTAGTATTCCATTGTCTAGATACAGTAAGTCCTCACTTAATGTTGTTAATAGGTTCTGTGACTTTAAGTGAAATGATGCATAGCAAAACCAATTTTACTGTAGACTAATTGATATAAACAAGAGTTAAGTTCCTCCTGCATCTCATCAATATTATAATGAAACAACATTAAATGAATGACAGTATTCAAGGACTTATTGTATAGAAACCACCGTTTCCTTTCTTTACTTATGCATGGACAATTGGGTTGTTCTGGTTTGGAGCTAATACAAATAAAGTTGCAGTGAACATTCCGGTACCTGTCTTTATATGAACAAATGCTTTTATTTCTCTTGGGTAAATATCTGGGAGTGGAATGGCTGGATTATATAGATGTATGTTTAACTTTGAAGAAACAGATTATTTTTTAAAGCTGTTATGCGATGTTACATTTCAACCGGCAGTGTACTTTCCTTTTCATGTAATGTTCTTGTATAATTTGGGTATCAGAGTAATGCTGGCCTCATAGAATGCATTGGAAAGAATATTCCCTGAGTGGAGTGTCAAGTAGGTTGCACTGACTGATAATGCAATCTCTATACCTTTTCAGGCTTATATTGGGAGAGACATGTTAAAAATCCAAAACTTTAATTATAGGCACACTGTTTCTCCCTTCAGTTCTGTCAGGTTTTGATTCATGTATTTTGAAACTTTGTGTTTAGATGCACACACTTAGGATCATTATGTCTTGATGAATTGACCCTTTTAAAATTGTGCAGTGTCCTTCTTTATCTCCAGTGATATCTATTGTCCTGAAATCTACTTTATCTGATATTAATGTAGTTACTATAGCTTTCTAAGAATTAGTGTTTGCATGGTATATATCTTTTCACCCTTTTCTTTTAATCTATGTATGCCTTTATATTTGAAATGCATACTTATAGTTGGTTCTCAACCCTTTATCCGGTCTGGCAATCTCTGCCTTTTAAATGAAGTGTTTAATCCATTTACATTTAATGTAATTTATTAATATGCTTGGATCTAAGTTTACCATCTTGTTGTATTTCTTTTTACCCCATTTCTTCTTATTGTTCATTGTTCTTTTCTTTTTTTTTGCCTTCTTTAATATTAATCAAGAATTTAAAAACTTTCCTCTGTTAGCTTTCTAGCTATGCTTCTCTTTCTTTAGTGGTTACTTTGTGGTTTATAATATACATCTTTAATGTGTTGTAGTCTACCATGAATTTATATCAGACATCACACATAACGTGAGAACCTTGTAACTTCCATTTACTTCCCTTCTGTCCTTTGTGCTATTCTTATACATATAAGCCCAAATAAGTTATAAACCCAACAATTATTTATTTTACTTTAAACATTCAATTATTTGTTAATTAAGAAATAATAAAATGCTTTATATATTCATGTATTTATCATTTTCTGTACTTTGTATAAATCTGAATTCCCTCTATTATCATTTTCCTTTATTCCCTGAAAAACTTCTGTTAACATTTCTTAAATTTTAGGTCTGTCGATAAAAGATTCTCTTAACTGAAGATGTTTTTATCTCCCCTTTTCTTTTGAAGGATATATTTTCTAGATATGAAATTCTAGATTGAGAAAAAACTTTTTTCAGCACTTTAAAAATGTCATCTTTTGTCTTCTCGCTTATGTTGTTTCTGATGTGAAGTCACATCATTCTGGTTGTTATTCTATATTTAATGTATCTTCTTTCTCTGGATGATTTTATATATCTCTGTATTACTGGTTTTTAGTAATTCGATTATGGATGTGTAATTTTCTTTGGGTTTATCCTGTTTGGGATCCATTGAGCTTCTTGGATCAATAGGTTTATATTTTTCACCAAATTTGAAAATTTTCCATTTAACATTTTTGTAAATATTTTTTCAATTTCTCTTCCATCTCTTGTTGTGACTTTATTTATGTATATGTTAGGTTGTTTGATGATGTTTACAGATGAACTAAAGCTCTGTTCAGTGTTTCATCCTTGTTTTCCTTCTGTGCTTCAATTTGGATAGTTTCAAGTACCCAATCCTCAAGTTCACTGATCTTTTCTTCTACAGTGTCTAATTTGTTTTATTAGAAATATTCTAAAGTGAATTTTTCATTTCAGCTGTTATATTTTTCATGTCTGTAATTACCACTTGGTTCCTTTTTACATTCTTTCTTCATTATGTTCACATTATCTTTTAAATCTTTGAGCATATTTATAATAATTGCTTTAAGGTCCTTGACTACAAATTCCATTATCTTTGTCATTTCTTGTTTCTCTTAACTGTTTTTTTGCCCCCTTTGGACTATTACTTTTTTTTTGCTTCGCCCGATGAGTACATTTTTATTTTGTGCTGTACATTATGGATGCAATGTTGTTGAGTGTCCGGATTTTGTTATCTTCCTTTGAACTGTTAAATTTTGTTCTGGCAGATAGTTATTTTACTTACAGATCAGCTTGATACTTCAAAGTCCTGTTTTTAAGTCTCTCTGGATCTTGTTTTTAAGCTGTGTTAGGTCAAATCTGGAGTATAGTAGTCTCTCCTTATCTGCAGTTTTGCTTTCCAAGGTTTTAGTTACCTGTGGTCAACCATGGTTCAAAAATATTAAATGGAAGATTCTAGAAATAATTTATGTTTTAAATTGTGCACTGTTCTGAGTAGCTTGATGAAATCTCATATCATCCTGCTCCATTCCTCCTGGAACGTGAATCATCTCTTTGTCCAGCATATCCATGCTATCTATATAACTACCCACCCCTTAATCACTTAAAAGCTGTCTCAGTTATCAGATTGATTGTCGCAGTATCACAGTGCTTGTGTTCAAGTAAACCCTATTTTGTTGATAATGGCCCTAAAGCCATTCATTTAACTTTTATTACACTATATTGTTATAATTGTTCTTTTTCATTATTAGTTATTGTTAATCTCTTAGCGCACCTAATTTATAAATTAAACTTTATCATAGATATGTGTGCAGAGGAAAAATCATAGCGTATCTAGGATTTGGTACTATCCAAAGTTTTAGGCATCCACTGGGAGTCTTGGAACGTATCCCCTATGGATAAAGGAGAACACTGTAATCTTTATTCTAGGGTTAGAGTAATCCTTCCAAGGCATTGCTTCTCTGGATCATGCCCAGGGTATTCAGCAAGGTCTCTCCTGTATGGCAGGTAGGAGCTCAAATGCCCTTTGTGTAACCTCTGACTCCTTACTCAGCTCACAGCCCCTGTTGGTCACCAGGCTTTGCAGAGGCTCCCTCTGCACATATCGGCCTGGCATTCAGCCAAAGACTTCATGGGCGCCCCCCGCCCCCCATGTACATTTCTGGAGTTCTTTTTTTTTTTTGCCTGGTTCTTTCATCTTTATTATTCTGTCTTGCAAATTTTAGCTACCTCAGAAGCCCTGAACTCTGATCACTGTCTCCTCAGTTGAGTTAGATTGCTCTGCTTCCTTTGGGCTTCACCTCTGTGCCATGGTCCAGAAAGTCTCTCCAGGCAGAATGATCATGGGGCTCACGACAGGTCTTTCATGCATCACAGTCCCGCACTTCCTGCTGTTCAAGATCTGAAAACTGTTGTTTCATGTATTTTGTCCAGCTTTACAGATGAATTTGGAGGAAAGCTAGTCCTATACAAGCTGCTCCATCACAGCCAAAACTGTAAGAGCTCCAAGTTCTCTTTCTAAGACTAAAATCCACAAGAAGAGTTTCTCAAATTAGACTTCTCTTGCATCACGTCTCCCATTCATGTCTACTTCCAGCCTCTGAGCTGAGCACACTATTCCCATTTGCGTTGAATGCATTTTTACACCCCTCTACCTACTAAAGGCTTCAGGGAGACCTCCCGAGTCTCTCCGCCCACTCAGCTGCAGTTACTTTTTTGTATTCTTATATTCTCTGAAATATTTTGCTCCAGTTAAATTTCGAGCTTCACAAAAAGAAGAGACCACTGTGTTCTCTTGTTTTTAAATATTTCTTTATGTGAAAATATATCATGTTTCTTACAAGAGCAGTCAGCCTGTCTGTCTAAAACTCTCCATTTTCTCGGTGAAAGCCCAGATAGGAATTCTAGCCTGATAACATTCCATGTGAGAAGGTCAACAGATGGCGTAAACTATTAAGAGAAATGAGTTGGGAGCATGGAAAATTCATCCTGACTCAGCCCCAACCTACTCTGTGACCCTGGAGTGGTGCGTGTACCTCCCTGAGCCTCCACATCCCCATCTGCCTTATATTCTAGGGGCCTTTGGGAGGATAATATGTGAGGTAGGCTTACCTCGAGGAGAAGCTGAGGAAGGTTCTAGACTCTCGGACTTTCTCAGGCTCTGGGTAAGAGTGAGAGAGTCTTTGCTTTCTGTGGACTGAGACCAGGTTTTATCCCTCGAGCCTGGGGGTCTGTGGCTCAAGAGGCCACTTACTCAGCCAGCTCTGAGGGCTCTCAGGGACTGAGAGCGTGACCCTCTCAGGTACCGCCCCCGGGTGGGAGCCACCGGACGATCCAGACACGGGCTCTGAGTGCTCACATCCAGAGGTCTCCCCATCTCCACGCTTCGTGGCAGCGAAGACCCAGACGAACCAGTCGGGGAAAAAAGCTTCGGCCTCCGTGGTCCGATGCGCCACCCTCTTACACCGCACCCCTCCAGCCACCCAAACCCAGACGTTCCGCACTCCAAATTCAGGATCTCCGGCAAGCAAGGCAACCGCAGGTACCAATGGCCTATGTAACCCCACACTTCCTCCACTCCCTGCCCTACAGCCACCTGCCACAGCTGTGCCCGAGGTCATTGTTCCCTTGCAAGAGCAGGAGTGGAGGTCCCATCGTTCTCTGAGACGAATCTGAGTCCCAGCTCTGCCTCTGGCTGGCCCTCCAACCATGGTGAGCCACCTAACCTCTCTGAGTCTTAGGGTTTCTTACCTTAAATCAGAGAATTGTATGAGTTTGGTTTGCACACTTCTTTTTTTTTTGAAACAGAAGAATATTTTTCCCAAGTCATGGCCTAAAGTGTTAAAAATAAATGTTTTTAAATTAATTACCAACATTTGAATATTAGATTTTATGTAAAATTTGATTTCTAGCTGACTTTGAAAAGTCAGTTTTGCACTCGTGGGCCCACTTTCCTGCAGGGTGACAATCGTCTTGGGACAGAGCCACAGCTGCCTCCTTTCATAGAGCATGTGCTCTCCACTTTTCCACAGTCCCCACCACTCCTTCCTGCCTACCCAACACAATGGCCATGTGGCAGGTGTCATTTCTCATCATGATCACTCTGTTTGTTGTCTGTCTTACATCCAGCCCAATTCATTCATTTATGTCACCTGCCTGGACCCTCTTGGCATGAGATTGCATCCCCCATTTTTCAGAAAACCCAGGTCTAAAAACTCATTTCTACAAAGAGCTGCTTTCCTGGAAGCTGAGTGGTTGACCTGGAGCTCTCT